CACTGGGTTCAGCAACTGAGCCCCTGCCGGTCACAAAGACGGATGACAGATGGGACAAAGGAAGAAGGGGTATGAATGGGCACACAGACTGGCTTACCGACAGGGAGGGAGAAGGCCCATGATAAGAGCGGAAATGAGACGTGAGCAGGGCTCGCCCAAAGGGGCCAAGACACTAAGATGAAGAAATATGCTACAGAGAGCTAAGGCGGAGTGTGGGCTTTGGGGTTCATGTGTCTGTCTGTCCTGGGAAACAGGAAGTTAGAAGATTAGGAAGTGAATCACATGCACATTATAGTCAATGGGTGGGGGGGTGGCCGTTTGCTATTAGTGGTCTGGAGGCTCAAGTCCCCTCAGAGTCAAAGCCTCAAGGTGCATCAAGGCTGCCGCACACACTGCCTTCCAAGACCTGCGGAGGACAAGCGGGGAGAGCCTGCTGACTGGGAAGTACGGGCTCACCACTGCCGGGACCTGCCTCGCTGTCTTCAAACCTCTCCCTCCACCGTCTCACTTCTAAGGTTTCCCTGGTGCCCCACTTACTCCAGTGAGACTTCACTGTGGTTTAGACGGCTACCTCCAGAGCACACGCAGCTAGCAGATGTCTAAAGAGCTTTTAACCCAGAGTCTTCCCTTTATCTTCTGTTAAGTTTGTGTTTCCATACAGATTCTTCTAGAACAGAGAGCAAACAACAAACCACTGTCTCCAAGAACTGCAAAGGCACTTTATAAAGTTGTCACCCCGTGCACCCTTCTCCCACCTCCTGCTCCAGCAGGAGCACTTTTCACTTAGCAAAGCAAACCTCACAGCTCAGGATGCTACAAGGATGCACGGGTTGCTGCGTCAAGCATATCTGCCAGGTTCGACTTAAATGCTAAACTATTGCTGGAAATGGAGATTTTCAATTTTCCACTATTAAAAATAACACCCCAAATTGGCCCTTTTTTATCTGAAGTGACACTATTACTCTCCCAGCAGGCCTGAAAACTCTTCTTTTTCCTTAAGTATTTACTTTTTGTTGCTGCTATTGGGTGGGTTGATTTCTCATTATTGATGGTATGTATGAGTGGTGTTGATTTTATATTTATTCCATACATACACACTCTATTGAATTTATTCTGTTTTCAGTTGTTTCCCTTAGGTTTTCTAGATGCATAATCACAGAATCAGTAACTAGTGATAATTTTATTTTATCCTATACAAATTTTAGTTCATGTTTTTTTTGCAGTGGTCAAAGTTTTGCAAACATATGAAAACAACAGTGACAGAGATATTCCAGTCTAGTATTTAGGTTGCTCTGAATACTTACTATTAAAGTTATTACTATGTTTAGCTTTGGATTTTGAAAAAATTCTTAAAACATTACCTAGATTAGTTACATAGGTTTACTTAATCTATGGATATAATAATATTAAACTAAATTTCTGTGACAAATTCTGCTTTTTTATTTTTAACCTGCTATCATTGCTTATAGTCTTCACATCAATGTTCACAAAAAGGTTGGTCCGTGTCTTCACTGTACAACACTGGCAGCCATCAGCCATGTGTGGTAACTGAACACTGACATGTGGCTGCTCTGAATCGATATGTGCTCTAAGTGTAAAATACACTCTGGACTTTGAAAATTTAATCTAAAAGAATGCAGATACCTTAATAATGTTTTATATTGATTACATGCTGAGATGTTAGTACTTTGAATAGACTAAAGTACTTTAATTAATTTCCTATTTCTTTCTACTTTTTTAATGTGGCTACTAGAAAAATTTGAATTATATCTGCGGCTTACATTATATATCTCCTAGGTAGTGCTGCTCTACTGCTCCCTCTTTACAAAGTAGCTCTCCTGAGTTTTTAGATTAAGGCTGAACTGATCTCAAAGAAAGAACTGAGCTGCCCAGGATACTCTACAAACTGGTCCATTTGCTGTAATAGGGCTATGTGGGCCTTGACAGCTTGAAAGGATTCATCCAGATTCAAGTCCCCCCCAACCACCATCTTTGAGAATTTTCAAGTTGCAAGTCTGCTGATATTTCTTTAATAAAGGATAAAGTCTCAAATGCCAGGAACTGTCAGAATTGGATAAGCTCTATTAAACATGAGATTAAATCAAAGACTTACTGATAGCATTTCAGATCTTGAGCTATCAATGTTCCTTACTTCCGGGCTGGTTTTTATTGAAAATGTAACAAGCAGCTTTTCTTTGTTTTAAAGGCTACATGAAGATTTTCCTCTTTACACCGAGGTATGGCTAATACACCCACTTCTGTGTACATGCCTCTAACTCTTGAGTAGAAAATGTTCCTGCTGCTCTTCTGCTCATTAGAAAATCTTTTCAGTCTGAGACAAAAATTTCACTCATCAGATCGCAGATGACAACCAGCTGCTGTCAATAACGAGGCTGCTTCGAGAGGAGGATGCCGGGGCAGGCACCAGCTGCACAGCCCCAACCCCTGAGAAGCACTGCCTGGACAGGTGAGCGTGAGGGCACGTATGGGGGGGTCACCCAGTGTGCTTGCAGGAGGACCCATAAAGTCCCACAGCGAGCCAAGACATGACTCCACTCCTAGAGCGTGCATTCCCAAAGCTACTACACCCAGAGTCTGATTTTTTATCATTTCTTTAATGTGAAGTTGATAACCACCTGGACCACCTGATTCCACTCATAAGCTGAGTGACCTTGGACATGCTATTTAATCATTCAAACTCAGTTTCTTCATCTGTGAAATGGGGAAAAGAAAAAGATCTATTTCAGGATTTGAGAACTCAATGAGATAGGGTATGCAAAGCTACCACTGAAGCTCCCAGCACACAGTAAACATCTATTATTAAATACACAGCATGAAAATAACAGTGTATATACCAATGTCATTGGCGTCTATCCAATGCTGACTAGAAGATCACTAATTAGCAAAGTTTCACCTACTATAGTTAAGTGGCTTGTCAACCACAGGACCAGACACCATCAAATAAGGCATAGCAAAATGTGCATGCATTAACATGTAAACAAAAACTGGGCCATTCTAACATAGCTGAATCACTCAATCCCCATCAAAGGCTGCAGATATCCAGGTTGTACCCAATTCCTTAGACAAAGGAATCAGCATAGAGACAGTCCTTGGGGGCAGTCTGCCAGAGATACACAGGAAGTTCATCTTCTCTCCTGCTCTGCATCCACCACAGGCTATGTGGCTGCCTGTGGCCCTCTGTTTACAGGCTCAGTCCGTCTCAGCCCAGTCCAAAGTTGGAGGACCAAGGTTGTCTGTGGCAGGGTCGAGGAGGGGACACAGCCCTGCCCCTGCCCCTCCTAGCCTCAGCTGCAGAGCTGGAGCCTCTGCCCGCTCCTCCAGTTACCCACTGGTTTCTCATTTGCTACCCACCAACCTCTAAAACTCACTGCTTCACCAAAGAAAAATGAAAACCCAAACATCAGTCATCCTCACCCATGAGACCTCTGTCTTTCTTGAAGGGAACGGGGAAAGCGTGAGAATGAGGGAGTACAGATACAAGTAAAAACCACAAGAAAACCTCAAAATGGGGGTGTGCTTACTTCGAGGACAAAGGAAAGGGAAGAAGTTTTAAGAGTTTCTGCAGTGGGCAGAGGAGAAGAGAAATGCTTGCCATGAAGAACAGCCAAGGGTGGCAGAAAGAGAAGCAGGCAAGCTAGTGCCTTGGGAATGAAGGAAGAAGGGCAAGTTGACATGGGATTTACTCCAGGAGGAGCAACCTCTTCCTGCTTCTGCTGTCTTGTTTTCCATGTAACACCGTGCCTGGCTAAGCCCTTCACTCCACTCCACTCCTGGTGAAGCTTTTCCCTAAGGACATGAAGGTGGTAGAGTCTGCAACCCACTGACCAGGGAGCGTGAAAGGGCTGCAGGAGTATGGGGCAGGGAATGCGGGTGGGCGTCAAGGAAAGCACCCCAATTCCACTAGCCAGGTCCACATCAGCAGGGAATGCCTTCTTGGAAAATCTGAATTGTCTTGGAAATCAGAGTTCAGTTCTCCAGGGAACACTGATACATACAGTGGCAAGGGACCACAAGATACAAGAACATCTAAGGCACAGGCTTTTAGGAGCTGGCCTAGAAAACCACTCAGCAGGCATTAACTTTTTTTGTTTTTTGTTTTAAAATAGGAAATGTACTCTGGGATTCTAAAGAAGCTCAAATAAACTTCTGGAGTGCTGAGGATATTAGAAACTGTATACATATTTTTATATACTAAGTTAATATGGCTATAAATAAAAAAGTCACAGAACTTGGAGTGGATTGGAGAAACACTATTCCCTCATCCAAGCAAACTTAACTACATACAGCATATGTAAATAACGAATCTCAAATGACAAGCCCTGGATACTCCAAGAAGGAAAACAGCAACCATCAGACATCGCACTTAGGGGTAAGCTTCATTAACAAAATGAGACTTCAGCTCAAAATACTACATGTTTCTCCAAAAGAATATTTTTAGACAGAGTAAAAAATTCTCCCCTTCATCCCCTTATAAAATATAAAAAGATACTGAGAATTCAGTTTACTTATAATTTAGTTGTTGTATTGTTGTTGCATTAAAATCAATAAGTAATCTGAGACCAGCATTCACTTTTCAAGACTTGGTACTACTTCTTCAATAATATTTTCTTTCCTTTGGGGAAAAATGTATTAGGCAATTTTTTTCTTCACAAAATTATCCTCTAAGTTTTTATTTTTCTTTGGTAAAAATTTGTTTTCCTTTTTTCAAACACTTTCATTTCAAACAGCTGGTTCATCAGTGTCCTTATAGTTCATAAACACTATTCAAAACAGCTGTGTGATTGTCTATGGGACTAAAAACACTTTCACCGTTTCTCACGAATCATTTCACAGATAGTGGTAGTATAACAGGTCTATTCATCATCCCACTGCAGACAACACAGGATAATACTAGGAGGGGAAAGCCATAGTTACTGATGTTTATGGTTTGGTCTGAGCTATGAAGACCACCTTCTCTTTCATCATAAGCCCTCATTTACCTTCGTCTGCTCGCTGTCTGGGTCTTCAAGCCAAGCGTAAGGGTCACAGATTTTATGCCCATGATAATCCTGTACCTGCAAAAGACAAAGTGTGGTATTAGATAACTAGTGTCTAACCCCAACTGCATCACTACTTCCAGAATGTGACGGAGATAGGAAAGGGGCAGTCTGAAATAGCCCAATTGGCTCACTGGCAACGTGTCTGCCCAAATTACCACATGAACCAAAGTAGGCAGGTTCTCAAAGGTGTCAAACCACCCTTAATGAAAAGAACATTTTAGCTGGAGCAGGAGGAGAGATGAAAGGTCAGAATAGGAACAGCTCTGTCTGTACAACACAAGACAAAGGCCTGCCACTGTGTTAAAGAAACTCGAAAACGTGTTGTTGGTGGCCAAGGCCTGAATGACACAATGCAGTGGGGATACCGGAAGGGCCTGCTTGGGCGGGAGCCATCACACACGGGTGCACTGCCCTGTTCTGGCTAAGCTTACAGATGCTTAGGAAATCTCCCGACAATGTACAATATGATCAGTTTTGCCTTTAAGTCTAAACTACCAAAAAGCAAGTTAATGAACATGTAATGATGCTCACTGATGTCAGAGAAAGCTGACTTTCATGCAATGAAAGAACATTTCTACAACTGAAGCCTCTCTTCTGTTCAATGTACTGGTATGAAATGCTTTCTTTCACTGTGCAGGAAAGGAGGCACAAAGGTATCACGCATTCAGACCACCCTGATATTTGATGAGATAAAACCACTGAGTGCCAGGACAGCCTGGCTGAGGGGATGCCTTCGGGAGCCCCCTCGTGGGAACTTTTGGAAAACTCAGTTCCTGGGTGGGCCTGGCCTCAGAGACTGACTGAGTCTGGAAGAGCACCTGGAAGTCACCACTCCCCAGGTGATTATGCCTAAAGAAACTACCAACAGATAAATACCCCAATAACACAGTAATGTGATTAATCAAATGAAACCACATGTACAACGTCTTTCCAATCAAGTCTCTCTCAACGACTGAACAGCATTCCATTTGAGACTTCCTGTGTGCAGCTGTCTGGAAGACAACCAGTGTCTCAGATACTTTGCACCTGTCTCCTTGGTTTTGTTCTATAATACCAGAAGGTAAGGGCTAGTCCCTAAGGAAAGCAAACACTCTCCTGGAAAAGGAAAACCTGCTGCTTCTACTGTTTATCAAAATTCTACTGTGGCTGTTGGTCAACTGAAACTATCTCCCAAGCCTCAGACCCCTGGCTTTCTGCAAGGGGTCAGCATCTGTCCTCATCTGGTGCTGGGGAGACAGTACCTGGGGACACACACACCTAGAAGGACAGGCAACTGAGATGGAACATAAGGACTGCTCAGCAAATAATGACCAACAAGTGCAAGGCACATACCAGATGAAAGCCTTCCTGACGAGTCTTCCTAAAATTATCAATTTTCAATCCTTACTAAAAGCCTCTCTAAATTTTAGCTGATTATCACCACTGAAGAAAAGGTTTTGTCTTGTTTTTTCATCTGCAAGTCTCTTACATTTTACACACCTTGAAATGGTTGTAAAACACCATGCTTACAGTAACAACCATCTTTTCTCTGACAATGGGAATCAAAAAAATATAAAGTTGTGCAAGATCTTCCAACCCAGTATTTTTAGGAGCAATGTCAAGAACAAGATGGCAACATGCCCAGGGCCATACTGAGTTCAGAATCAGAGCTGAGACTCAAAACAATCTACAAACAGCTTCCCCCCAAATATTCCTCAGAAGGGACAGACTGGACACTAAAAATGTTCCTCAATTCAGTTCAGTTCAGTCGCTCAGTCGTGTCCGACTCTCTGCGACCCCATGAATCGCAGCACTCCAGGTCTCCCTGTCCATTGCCAACTCCTGGAGTTTACTCACACTCATGTCCATTGAGTTGGTGATGCCATCCAACCATCTCATCCTCTATCGTCCCCTTCTCCTCCTGCCTTCAATCTTTCCCAGCAGCATCAGTCTTTTCAGATGAGTCAGTTATTCACGTCAGGTGGCCAAAGTATTGGAGTTTCAGCTTCAGCATCAGTCCTTCCAATGAAAATTCAGGACTGATTTCCTTCAGGTTGGAATGGTTGGATCTTCTTGCAGTCCAAGAGACTCTCAAGAGTCTTCTCCGACACCACAGTTCAAAAGCATCAATTCACTGGCGCTCAGCTTTCTTTACGGTCCAACTCTCACATCCATACATGACTTACTAGAAAAACAACAGCTTTGACTAGATGGACCTTTGTTGGCAGTGTAATATCTCTGCTTTTTAATATGCTGTCTAGGTTGGTCATAACTTTCCTTCCAAGGAGCAAGCGTTTTTTAATTTCATGGCTGCAGTCACCATCTGCAGTGATTTTGGAGCCCCCCAAAATAGTCTGTCACTGTTTTTGCTGTTTTCCCATCTATTTGCCATGAAGTGATGGACCAGATGCCATGATCTTAGTTTTCTGAATGTTGAGTTTTAAGCCAACTTTTAGTTCTCCTCTTTCACTTTCATCAAGAGGCTCTTTAGTTCTTCTTCACATTCTGCCATAAGGGTGGTGTCATCTGCATATCTGAGGTTATTGATATTTCTCCTGGCAATCTTGATTCCAGCTTGTGCTTTCTCCAGCCTAGTGTTTCTCATGATGTACTCTGCATATAAGTTAAATAAGCAGGGTGACAATATACAGCCTTGACACACTCCTTTTCCTACTTGGAACCAGTCTGTTGTTAAGTCCAGTTCTAACTGTTGCTTCCTGACCTGCATACAGATTTCTGTAGAGGCAGGTCAGGTGGTCTGATATTCCCATCTCTTTAAGAATTTTCCAGTTTGTTGTGGTCCACACAGTCAAAGGCTTTGGCATAGTCAATAAAACAGAAGTAAATATTTTCCTGGAACTCTCTTGCTTTTTTGATGATCCAGCAGATGCTGGTTTCTCTTCCGTTTCTAAATCCAGCTTGAACACCTGGAATTTCATGGTTCATGTACTGTTGAAGCCTGGCTTGAAGAATTTTGAGCATTACTTTACCAGCGTGTGAGATGTGTGCAATTGTGCGGTAGTTTGAGCATTCTTTGGTATTGCCTTTCTTTGGGATTGGAATGAAAACTGACCTTTTCCAGTCCTCTGGTCACTGCTGAGTTTTCCAAATTTGCTGATGCTACTAAAACTCAGACATATCCAGAAACTTAACAAAGGGGGAAATATTAACAGCAAATCTTAATTTTATGACTAAGTGAAAGTGCTGCCACGTGCTAGACCCAAAGCAATGAACGGCTGCTGAATATCCATACTGCTGTGCCTGGTGTTTTAAAGCTCCTTTGTGAGAGCTGATTATGTTCCTACTTCACAGCCGCAGAATGCAATTCGGAGATCGGAAGGGTGAAGACTGTAGATCTGCTGTGAGCTAAACACTGTGCCATAGCCACGTTTATCTGATCTGGTCCTCACTGTAAGGCTACTACCAACTCATTTTTCCAGATGAGGAAACTGAAGCTGGGCACAGTTAAAGCAGCTGACAAGGGTCAGATGGTTAACAAGCTGGAGGGAGAACAGTGATCCCATCTTGAGCAGCCCCCAAAGCCGGAGGACTTGACCTTTTGATAACGAAGCGGACCAGTTGTGAATTGGCAGGGGCAGAGTTGGACCTTTACTTAGAACCCAGTGCTCCCTACACTGGACTGCCTACTGAATGGTGTTCACCTCTGAGCAAACAGCCCCAACTTCCTGTACCTGCCTTATAATCTAAAGCAGACTGAAGTCAGTTACTGAGCAGACATTTCTAACCAGCATAAGAAACAGATTCCCTCCAGGACAATCCCAGGAGCCAAGTGCCCTGCCCCCATCCACCTGGCCCCTACATTTTTCTTTTATAAGAGCGTATGCTAGCTACAAATGGGGTGATCTCACAAGCCACATCCCCTGAACTCAAGCTATATAGTACCTGATTTTCCCATCTGATTAAAGTTTGCAAACCATTCCATATTTTCCAAAGACGCTTTAAAAAGAGAGTTCTGATAAGACACTACCACTATGAATATTTCACTGTATTAGTCAATAGTTTGCCTGCTGCCAAATGCACATTTGTACACACAGCAGGCAGAGCCCATCAAACCTGGCCCCATTTTATCTTCCCTTTCCAGCCGCCATCCAAGCTTACACCCAAGATGTTCTGGTCACAATGGCCTTCCTGCCATCCCAAAACAAACGCAATTCCATGACCGTCCAGCCCTACATAACTATGACTTCAAGTCACATGACCAGGAATGTCCTTTCAACTTTAACCAACTGACCAACTTCCAGCCTCAATTCTCATACTGCCTCTACCTCCTGATGAAAATTAATGCCATTCTCCTCCGTGTTTTCCACTCACCCTGCACACTCTGCCGCTGCAGGCCTAAATTCCCTGAGAGCAACACTCTCGGGGGATGGGCCACAGGATCACACTGGAACAGCATGGTTTCCAAAAATCTGCTGGCTAATGCTGAAGTCCACGCAATGGGACTGCAAGCTCCAGCCCCACAGTTCAGCAGGAGGCTGCTGGGTGCACGGCTGGAAGACACTCAAGGGAGAGAGACAGAGAGCTACAGCAATGGCTAGCACCTGCTGGAGAGAAATAAACCCATCCTAGAAATCAAGGCTACAATTTGAGTAAATGCCTGAGTCAACCCTGCGTTAGTAATCAGGACTTTGTCACAGGGAAAAGACACTGCCCACAGGCTGTCAGGACTGGGACGAGTAACCTGGGTGATCTACAGAGCAGGGTCCAGGCTGGACCAAGCGCTACATTTCCTCAGCCTTGAGGCTCATCACGACTCCTCTGATGCAAAAGAACTGGAGAGTATTAAAATCCTCGGTATACTCTTTTAAGTTAATTGTTCATAATCTTTCTGACATCTTCAGAAATCCTCACTTAACCCTTTCAAGAACGGTTAAACACAGATTAGGTGAACTGCAGGGTTTTGGTAACCCCAAAAGTGAAAAGTTATGGAAGAAGCACCCCTCCCCCATTTAAATAAAACAAATCTAAAACAGCTTATCAAATGTTATAATTTTATCTCTCCTGAAAACTCAGAGATCCTCAAAAACCAAACCAAGATATTTATGCCTTCCCATTTCTCATGTCTGGCACACGGCAGGGCCAGGGCATCACCTGAATGAACGAACGACTGATACTCTTACTACAGAAGCAAGTAAACTCTGTTGTTAGCCAAGCCAGCCGTAATAGTTCATTCAGGGAAGAGAAGGCCTGTAACAGGCAAGGGATCTGCCAAAGGGCATCCAGAGAAGGAGTGATAAAGCCACAACTAGCACTCAGGTCTTCTTACTTGGTCTATCCCCTTTCCATTCCCGCTGGATCACGTTACTCCTGTTGCACAAAGGAAACAACTCTTGAACCACAGAGATGGGGCTTCTTGGGGGAGTAAATTTAATAAGCAAACAGCTGAACAGACGGAGAAAACATGGTTACCAGATGGCCACAGGTAACCATTCAAGAAACCATGAATGCATTAGTACCACTTGGAAGTCTTAATTTAAAACAACCCTTACATCCTTCGCTCTAAAGCCCCAGAACCCTTTACCTCAAAATGAGAAGTGCTTTAAAGTACAGACTTCAGGCACAAATCAGGTCAAAGCAAGCAGAAAAAATCTAGAACTGTATTATACAAAAATCTTTTTATTCCAACTCTATTTTAAGTCATCTGAGGAATTTGGCTATTCCTACAGAATTATGCCCACAACATTTGGATTTACTCCAGTTCTTAAGATGACAAACTAATTTTTACACGCAAAAAAAAAAAAAAGTTCCGCCCAGAATTCCACCCACAGGATCTCCACAGTGACTCTGAGGTTATCTACAAACTGAGGGAAATAGTGGCTAAGCCCTGCACTAGGCAAAACTTCATTCTGCACGAGGCCACCCTCTCCTCTTCTAAGGCCTCCTCTGGCCCCCGCCGACTCTGCTCTGGTTTAGGAACACGCGGATCAGCACCGGCACACCACGGGGCCCTGCCCCATCTTCCACGGACTCTATCTCCGCCCTGCATCCCCAGCGCCCGCCGCCAGGACCCGGCAGGGGGAAGCGCTCCACACACTTTTTAAAAAATCGAATGAATGAACTTCAACTCTTAAATATTTTTAATTTCTGAGTTCAAAAAGTTTGCTTTTGTCTTATAATTGGACATCATCTACACACATCCACACTTTCTCCTACCACCATATTTAAGCAAGAGCCTCCTCCAAGCAAAAACGCAGTGACACGTCCTGCCTTCCCACTCTCTCAAGACGCCCACGCCCACCTGCGTGTTCGTCCTTGACCCCGATGATCTTGGGAAGTGGTCCAGCGGCGGCTGACCACCGGCTCCGCCGCCAGCGGCCGGAGGGTGACGGCCACCAGGGCCCCCGCGCCTCGGGAGGAGCCGGGCGCCCCCAGCCGGGTCTCGCAAACAAAGGCCGAGGGGGAGGGGAGAGCAGGGGGCGAGGGGCCGCAGGGGGCGAGGGGCGGCGGGTCGTGGGCCAGGCGCCGCTGGGTACTCACAGCGGTCTCGTCGCGGTACACGTCGGGGTACTGGAAAGACAGCATGGCCGGGGACGCGCAGGGGCGGCGTGGGCTCTGGGGCTGGCGCGAGCGGGCCGCGGGGCGAGGCGGGTGCCCGGAAGGCGACGGCGGCGACGGGCTGCTCTCGGCCGGGACTCTCGGCCGGGACTCAGGACCGGACCGGCTGCGCGGCGGCGAGGACGTGCGGGAAGCAGGAAGCAGCTGTCGGCGAGGCCCGGAGCCCCTCCCCGGCGGGCGGGCCCAGCGGCGGCGGCGGCGGCAAGAGGGAGCGGGCGGCGCCGTGCGTGCGCCAGGCCGGGCGCACAGCTCCCTCTGCAGGAGCACCGGCCGCGCCCGCGCCGCCGCCCGGGCCCACGCCTGGGCCACCGAGCCGAGGGTCCCCGCCACGCTAGCGGGGCCAGAGCGCCCGGCACGCGCCGAAGAGGGACCCGCGCGGGCCGGGGACACGCCCAACACGCCGGCCCGGCCCGCGCGCCCGGCACACGTGCCATCACGCCTGCGGGGGCACCACGCCTCCTGGCCCCTCCCGCCCTACCCGAAGTCCCCCTGCTGGCCGCTTCGCCATTGCAGCGTTCGCCGGACCTCCCTCCAGCCGAACGAATCTCCGGGCTTGCTGATTGGATTCTCTCATCGAGTTGAGAATTCCTGTTCTAGGACTGGGTAGGGGCGGCGAAGAGAGACCTGGCCTCCCCAGCCTTGAGAGCGGAGGTTCTTGAGGTGACCTAATTTCCCCTGCCTGTGACCCTGGACTTGGAAGGGCAGTAATAATGGATCGTGAGGGCTAAGAAGGAAACACCACTCGTATCCTCAGCACTCCTGGTGGGCGCTGTGTGATTGGGCAGCTGGATTATTTAGGTGCTATGAGGTGTGAGCAGGACGACGGATGAGTCCTTGTCCCCTGGATTGGAAAGATCCCTTGGACAAGGAAATGGCAACTCACTCCAGGATTCTTGCCTGGGAAATCCCATGGACAGAGGAACCTGGCAGGCTACAGCCCATGGGGTCGCAAAGAATCCAGTGTGACTGAGCAGGCACACATGTCTCAAATTTACCAGTTGAGAAGGGGCCAAGGTGGGAGGATTGGAAATCATCTAGGGTTTTTTTGTTCATCCTTCTGGTTCTTTTATCGGCATGTCTTTTCTGCCAATGTGTTTGTTTACTGAGCATCTTTTATTTTGGGGATGGGGGCAGGGCAGGAGGTATTAGATGCTAGACCTCAAACCCATGATATTTTAACAGTTATATTTATTCATCCTAGGGCTAGTGATAGGTGTTCTTGCCTTGCTTTCTGAACTTCAGGAAGAGGCTTTACAGCTCCAGGTATCAGAGGCTGATGGCTTCCCTGGAGGTCCCCATCCCCCAGAGGCCTTGGGCTCTGTAGCCTACCAGGCTCCTCTGTCCAGCATCTGTTAAGACTTATGTCTCTGGCATTTGCCCAGATAACCCATCCTTTAATTTACCTTGTTTCCTTGTTAGTTACCTTGTTTCCAGGTAACTAACTTACTGACTGATGGAAGTGCAGTCAGTAATTTCCAACTACTTTCCCCCAAAGATTTGTTATGTTTTCCAGTGTGACTCTTAATGAAAGTCTTATATTCCTGTGTATATCTAATCTCCACAAAACATCATAAAGTATGCAATATTAATAGCACCTAGAATAAGAGGGAGGTTCTCTTCTTGGCTTCCCCTGTGGCTCAGACGGTAAAGCGTCTGCCTACAATGTGGGAGACCCGGGTTTGATCCCTGGGTTGGGAAGATCCTCTGGAGAAGGAAATGGCAACCCACTCCAGTACTCTTGCCTGGAAAATCCCATGGACAGAGGAGCCCGGCAGGCTACAGCCCATGGGGTTGAAAAGAGTCGGACACCACTGAGCCACTTCACTTCACTTCTCTTCTTGGCCCTGCCACTAACTGTTTCACTGGCTAATGAGTCCTTACATCATCACTATTTTTCAGTTACAACAGGAGAGAATTGGATCATATGGTTTCAAAGGATTCTGAGATTCTTTAATTCTAATCAGGAACTCAAGTGAAGTTGTAGGAGCCTCAAAACTAACCCTAGGATTAAGAATGAAATTGCCATTCACTGGAGAGTGCTGTCCATACCTTGTGGACAGATGGAGATGAGAGTGGAAGGTGAGACAGTAATTGTCGGTCTCCTGAAAGGGCTTTCTCTGTAGCTTTCTTCTGTTTTCAAACCATCCACCAGCACAGAGTTGGCTGAGAGTCCACTGCTGGGCCTGAGGTTCTTACTAAATTCATAGATCTGATCTTTTTTAGGAACTGTAGTTGTTCCCTTCTAATACCCTTCTCTCCATATAGCTGTGTGTTTAATAGGTTATGTGAGGTATCTGGAATTACAGCTGTGAAGTCTCTGCTCCCTCCTCCCCTTCTCAGCCTAATGCCTAACTGAATTAAATACCAGAATAGGAGGACAGGGCTGAATTAAATCCAGATTAAAAATTGGGACAGAGAGAGTGGATCAAGAATGAATTTTTGATTCATTTTTCCACTTCAGCTTATGGAACTTATATATACCATTTCTAGTGAGGTTCCCAAGTTAGGTGTGTTTCCAAGTCAGGAGAGAGACATCTTTTTTCCTCTTCTGTTATTAGGAGAAAAATCAGGTGTGGCCCTTGAAATGTGTAAAATGTGTAAAATGAACTTGTTTCGTTTAAGTAAGGAAATATGAAATGATCTATTCATCTGTTTTAAATTTAGGACTTCATATCTTTTAGCAAATACATAATATGCATTACAAAAAATGTGTCTGTTCCAAATTCTTGACTGTAAAATTAGAGATAGGAGATTAGGGAAGAACAGAGAGGAAAAGAAAATGAGATAGACAAAGCAGAATGGAGAGACAGCATCCCACATTTGATGTGATCAACAAAGGTTAAAAAAAAAAAAAAGCACAAAAAGATAATATGGAGACACAATAAACACATGACAGCATGTGGAAAACCAGTGTTGGACACAGTCTTTCACAAAGAAACCTCATTATATGGCATTTAGAATATGAGTGTTAAATTTTTTAAGTTTTCTTGGAACTTTTACAACTCTGAGTAGTAACGATGGACCTGCTGGTGTTTTTATCTTTAATAGACAATAAGCAGTGTGTCTGACCTGCCCGCAAGAGGTTGTCCGCCCTGTTCAGCATCTTTGAGCCCCCCTAGGCTTACTGAATAGCAACCAGACTATTTTTCCGTTTACTACTGCTTCTCTCAGGTACTCCTTCCAGGTGTGACCTTAAATTAGCTAATTCTGAAGAAATAAATCTAGATTCAAGTTCACTGTGCTAGTCTTACTTGACATTTATGGTGTAACCATTTCATTGTAGGCTGCAGCATAGTATTATGGCCTCTAATAAAGAATTAGTGCTGACTGTCTTCACTCTGTGTATCAGGCTCTAGGTTCATCCACTTTACTAGAATTGTTTCAAATTCATTCTTTTTATGGCTGAATAATATTCCATTGTATATATGTACCATATCTTCCTTATCCATTCATCTGTAGATGGACATCTAGGTTGCTTCCATGTCCTGGCTATTGTAAACAGCGCTGCTATGAACATTGGGGTACATATGTCTTTTTCTACTATGGTTTTTTCAGAGTATATGCCCAGAAGTGGGGTTGCTGGGTCATATGATAGATATTTGTGTTGTTGTATGGCAGAAACCAACACAACATTGTAAAAATTTAAATATATATATATACTTAAAAATTAGTGCTGGGAAACATAGTCTTCAACTCATAATTCTCTGCACCTTTGGAGATTCAGGGTCCTATAACCTAAAGAGTGTGGTACCCAGCGCGTTCAGGTGTGGCCTCATCCCCTAGAACAGTCTAAGGTCTTGAAGCCCTGTCTTGCTGATAGCTCACATTCCATTGAAAGGTAGCTAACAGAATTTCCGACTCTGTGCTGGCCTTACCATTTTCCTCCTTTCTTGTGGGGAGAGGGGGAAAGGAAACACTTCATTGTTTTTATAGAAGTACTACATGGAGACTTCCAGCTTGGACCATAAGGCAGACTAAATAGTTTCTGCTAAACAAAAAATTGTGAATGCATTGCCAGGCTCCCAGGGAAGTTTTGCTCACTCCCTCCAAACAGACTGGATGTTAAAAAAAGAAAAAAAAAACAAGTGAAATCAGGAGAGTGAGAAGCAATAGAGTCACCAGGATAAAGACCTCCAAGGGGCATCATCTACATTGCATTCTGTGTATATGTTACCCTCTGGATTTGTGCAACTTAGTTTCCATGTACACACTCTAGGAAGACTGTCCTCAAAACCAATAACTATATCTGAGTTGTCTGTTACAAGGGGTCATCTTTGAAGGAAAGCATCCTAATGTAGGGGCTTCCAAGGTGTCTCAGTGGTAAAGAGTCTACCTGCCAATGCAGGAGACTCAGGTTTGATGCATGGGTTGGAAAGATCCCCTGGAAGAGGAAACAGCAAATGGCAGCCTACTCCGGTGTTCTTGCCTGAGAAATCCTGTGAACAGAGGAGCCTGGCAGGCTACAGTCCATGGGGTCTCAAAAGAGTAAGACACGACTTGGCGCCAAGTTAGTTGGCAACTAACAACAACATCCTAATGTAGGCCCAGAGGTTTTCTACTGATTATCTGAACCGCAGTTTAACTCACAATCACAGATCATGCAAGGAAACAATATTGGCTTTAATCTGTTAGCATTCTGGAACATTTTTACACTCTTCTGAAATCCTCTGCATTGCGAGAGGCCGTGAGTCTGAAAACTGTATTTCCAAAATGCCCTTGTCAGCTGGTTCTGGCGAGGTTCTAAAGAGGTAGGAGGGGAGAGACTCCTTTTCTCTTTTTATCTAGATGCTGGCAGCAGCACAGCTGGATCTTAGAAGGGGACCTTCACCTAAAGGGTCAGCAGCAAATTTGTTCCTCTCAAGCGCACTGTGGACTCTAGGCTCTTGTGTCGTGCGCAGGCTATGGAGGAGTGGAAGGGTGAGTGCTGGTACAGCTGGTGCAGGTAGCATCATGGGGTCTGCCAACAC